ACAGTAACTCAGCTAACGTCTGCTGTACTGTGAAGTGAACAGAATATATGCACACATACAGGTCGTTTCAGCCCCTCTGTTTTCCTGTCATATTTACGTTTCCATTTGGGAGTTGGGGAGTGACTGATGAAGAGAAGTGGGGGTCTCACACAGACAGGAGTCATTTCCGCTGTGTTTTGGAGGTCTGTGAAGGGTCAAGTCTTCCCCAGCCTCAGCTGTGTGAATCACATAAACACTCAGAATCAAACACTCCTACTACGTACCGACTGCCAACGTCCTCAGTGGTTTATGCAACTTGTGTTTTCCCTCACGCTTTATGTGCAATGGCAGCTAAGTCCTACAAGGACCCTTTGGACCCTGCAGAAACCCTGATAGTCCATCTGAAATACTATCCTTCTGTGGGGGCGATCTGAGTCTGTTTCTTTACAGTATTGATTGAATAGATGATTAAATGGACACAATGAACAGTCGCCCCTTCAGTTTGCTGTATTGATTTTTTTTCCCATGAGAAACTCCGGTGTTAGCGTTTCACTGTTTAAAGCTGCTGATCAAACACAAGTGTGAGAGGAGCAGGGATGTCGTGTTTGTTTTCTCGCGCTCCTGTCAAAATCTGTTCCTCTTTCTCAACACACACACAAACACACACGCACACACACGCAAACACGTAAAAACGCAGCAGCTCAGTGACGGGTTCGATCCCACAGGACAGCTGGCCTTGTTTAGGGAGTCAAACACACCAACATACTGGAAACATTAACATATGAGACAAGCAGAGGTCTTCAACTATTTTCTGAGGACATGATCTGAACTGTGATGATCGTAACTTCAATCCTTAAAGTTGTGAAACTAACGAACAAATAGAAATCAGTTTAACCGACAGGACAGTGGCAGATCAGCAAGAGCTCAGACTCATCATCTTGGTGCGCCTGAGTCATGTAGAAACAGGGTTTCGTCTGGACGGCGCTCACACATGTTCTGCCCGTCTCATGTCAGACTCTCAGATGTCTCTCACCGCTTGTGTCTTCACTTCGTATTACATCCGCACGTCTCGTTCCGTCTCTATTTGTGGATTATGAACATGTGCGCGGCTGTGTTTATGCGTGTGTCGTAGAGTGATCAGAGATGCTGCTAACTGTTTTTACCGGGCTGAGGGGCAGCAGGGGGGAAAAGGATCAGGGTCTCGGGTTTCAGTGGGTTTCTGACCGCAGCACAGCCCGGTACTTTGGATTTAGTGCGTCCGCTCACAGCTCATTTACAGCGTGAGGTGAGAGGAGGAAGTATTCGGTTAGCCGAGCACCTGCAGCTTCGTTCCCAAGACGGAGTAAAAATATACTGGCTTAAAATGGAAGAACCGCTCTGACACAGCTGGGATCGGCTTCATTAAAGGAGTCAAGAACGATTTGTTAATTTAGTCTTTAAATTTGTTCATTTATGTGGTTTATTGGTCGTACCAGTGTGTAAGATAACATCTTTAAACTGTCGTCCTGTGGGATGATTTCCACTGTGTTCAGCAATGTGCAGTTTCTCTGCAGCTGTGTAGCTCTTCTAGAGACATCTTTTGACTCATTCAGTGCCACTGACAGATTTGGATGAGAGGGTGCTCCTCCCCAACATGTGACTAAGTTTGGTGTCGTTCTGAACGCAGAAAAGTTGACAAATACGTCATAAGCATGTTACAAAAACAAAAACAAATACTCGCCACTGAGAAGTGTGCCAATTAGCCTAGTTGTGGAGTGTTTTTTTTTCACTATGCAGAGAGTAGGAAAATGCCAAAGTCATTAGCCAAGAGCTAACGGTCTCGGCGCATCGGCTCCCATGGGCGCAGTGCTACTGTCTCTGGATTCAGTGGAGATCCCAGTACCGGACCCTCACATCGTCAGCAGACAATCAAAGATACAATTTTTTTTGCGAGTCATTGTGCCGCCAGTTCCAGTACTAATGAACGAGACTGAGCCGGAATTCAGTGTCAGTCCCTGTGAGGAGGACGCGAGCAGACCGTGTGGTTTATGTCCCGGTGTCAGATTCTCGAGTGCCAATACGACTCCCAGCCTTCACAAAGTGACCAATCACAATCATATCTGAGTGGTGTCTGAGGAAGGAGGACCTTGATGCCACCAGTAAAGTAGTTTAAAGTGAAACGAACTAGACAATAAGAGTTCTGCTTTAAAGTCTCTCCTCGTAAAAATGTTTTTTTCTCAGGTTTCTTTTTCCAGATCAGCAAAGATGATATGACCCCGCTGCATTGAGCAGACAATAACTAAACACAGGAGTGGGTTAGAGACTAACTTTAGCTTTTGGTGAATCACCCCTATCTATTAAAATATTGCACTTAATTCTCGTCCAAGCACAAGATATTCTGTGGGTCCTGAAAGATACAGAAATTTCTATTGTAGTCAATGGTCAATAGTTCATGTGCTGCATGACCCCCCTTTTTTTCCACAAATGTAAAACTACTATTAGCAAGTTATCTTCATGTTTCCTTACATGAAAAATTCATTATTCATGAAAAACTGAATCTTAGAGTTAATAGGAATAAGTTACAGCTTGACTGACATTAAAAGTTCCTGCAGACCTTATTTAGTACCAGATCTGAAAAACTTTTTCTTTCACTTTTAGTCGACAAATTCAGCTTTATCGGATTTCTTAAATTGGTCATGATAAGTTCAAGGCTAGTCGGCACCAGTGTGAGTCTTGGTCATAGTGTGGTTTGACTTATCTGTTTGAAAACTGTATATTTTAGTGTTCATTTAGGCGAGAATGAAGTTCAACAAAGCTCAGTTTTAGTCCCCGTAAGTGTAAGAGAAGTGACGCATTTCAGACCTCTACATCCGTCTCCTCATACCCATAAACCCTTGTGTTATAAGGTCATTTCCTGCTGTTGATGAGGGGATTACAATCTCACTCATAACAAACTCCCTGCAGAGAGCTTAGAGGGAAACATGATGCAGTTTTAAGCATCATTTATCTGGTCCTGTTTGAGTTTTTTTGATCTAAACTGGAACAGAAACTGATCTGATTGTGTTTCTGCTGTAAGGTGTGAAACCTTGACTTAGAGGAGGGAGCGAAGTGCTTTTCCTGTGGATAATAATTTAAAAAAAACATTTAAGAAGAGTAACACCGCGACTGTAACGGCTTAAACATACAGGATGCGTATTTGGAGCGTGGCAGCAGTGTCGTGAATCACGCAGCAAATAGTTTGCTATTCTAATCCATGCAGCAAAGCATACATGACGCGTATAAGCTCCGCTGCAGGATCGTATCGTGAGCAGCACCGCTAAAGATACGCGACAAGTCTACTTTTGTTACTCTACGCTTCCAATGCGTGTCAATCTACACAGAGAAGATCGTTCTAGACAAGAAGTCAGGCACGAAAACCGTGCATGTCATCCGGTTTTTCAAAATAAAACACCATATGCGAACTCCTTGCGGCTACCCGATCCGTCCTGGAAACACGATTTGTACTGCGCATGTGCGAAACAGACGTCATTGCCTCTCCTCGTATTTCAATGCATTTACGGCAGTCTGTGTAGTCCGCCGCCCAGTCCCAAAGCGCCCCCTACATACTCGGCCTTCACTATCAAGTGTCACTCAAAATGAAGTTACACTCGCAGCTGTGGAGTGCGCCTCAATTGAAATGGGAGGGTATAAACAAGACAGGCAGGTATGGGACGCCCTCCTCACTCCACCGGAAAACGGAAAAATCGGCTGCCTCATTTCTTCATCCTCCCAGTAAAATCAAAAATCCAGTAACCATCACAGTGACAGGAGCTAAATTAAACTTCTGATTGTTAGTGGTTTCACACGCCTTTGAACCCCTTTACTTTTTTAATATGTGCATGCACAATCAAATCAAACCTCAGCACAGAGTAAGATTTTCGACTTCCGTTTGATCTTTCCAAACCACGTCTTTTGTGATTTTTTTTTGTCAGGGGGGAAGCACTCCGTTCAGGAGAAAGGCGTGTAGCTGTTGATAAATTGACGCCTCCATTCTGTAGTGGGCTCGTTGATGATGCTGAGGCTGCCGAACGTGCCAAAGCTGTCGCAAACGGCTAGGAGCAAAGAATTGCTGAGCTGTCGCAAGATGGCTAGTAGAGGAAGTGACGTCCGTTTCACACATGCGCAGTACAAATCGTGTTTCCGGGACGGATCGGGTAGCCACACTCCCGACTGTGTATCATTTCGTGTAGATGAGAAGTACTTCCTGGTTCTGGATTTGTGAGTCACACAGAATAATCAGGTGGTCAATCCCTGATCCATGTGGACCCCAAGAGGACTTTAAACTGCTAACTCAGTCTGAAGGTAACAGCACAGCATAAAGGAACATAGTTTACTTTATTAAACACGAGTAAACCTGCAAAAAAACAAACTGTAAAATCAAGTTGCTTTTTCACATACAGTAGAAGCTCAACAGTCATTGAATTATATCCAAATGAGCAGGAAACAGATCACAGAAAGGAAAAACAACCTGTTGTTCTCATGTTGTTTCCTCTATTCTGAGCCCAGCTGACCGGGGCCGCACTACGCTGCTGCTACGGTCCAAATACGCTGATCCTGTATGTGATACCTAATGCTGCACTACAGTGCAAACACGGAACGCGCTCAATATGAATCCTGTATGTCTTTGGCTTGAGGCAAACGACAAGTCTTAACATGCCAGCCTGAGGACTTCCTTAGAATGGAGTCTGTGATAATGCTGACTCAGTTACCAGGAAGTTTCGAGATTATTATCATACAGATTTTATCAAATACTGTAGAATAATCTGTCCAGTAATTATTGGGATATAAAATTAAAGAAAGAATTACGTGGATGGCATTTTAAAAAAAAACAAAAAAAAACCCTGCAGATTTCATCTTTGAGTCTCAAACATGCAGCATCTCTCCTGCTGTGTGCACTTTCTGCAGGTGCAGGTCGCCTCGAGGACGCGCACGGCCACGCGCCCCGGCTCCGCACGGTCCCTCCCCCTTCCCTCAGCTTGTTTAACTCCTCGCCTCCTCCACTTGAATGAGCGCTATTGTTGAGAAGTTTCGGAGTGTGTGCGCCCCTGAAGGCTGGCGGAGCCGGGTCCCGGACTCTGACAGACGGAGCTGATCCAGTGTGCTGCACTCACACACCTGAACGGTACAGACTTTTGGACACCTACCACCCTGCTGCAGAAGAGGGGAAGTTTTTAAACGCATTTTTCCGCTTTTGCACTGAGTGACACGCCAGACAAGTGGATAAAAAAGTTTGGGTAAAAGCTGCGAGAGCGCATTCCGGCGGACTTTGGATTACTGTACCGAGGTAAGCGTCTCCTGCACTTTCTTACTAAACACCCAGAGAAATGCATTTTTGTGCACTCTTAGGACAACTGGACAGATCGGTGAGTCTGCATGCTCCTCGGTGCAGCTTAAAGTGATTTTGGTTGCTTTTACGCCACGGAAGCCCCTCTGGTGTTTGGAGTCTTTCAGATGCTGTGTGATCGATTCAAACCTCACAGTTAATCGGTTACTCTGTGTACACTGACACATAGAGAAGCTGTGATAATCGATCCAGCTTTCAGGTTCTTTGAGTGCGTTTAATTTACGCAGCGCGCTTCACATGTGAAAGCCTCCCCTTGTGGCCCGGTCTCCTCGCATTCCTCTCCCCGGCGCACGGGTCCCTATCTCGGGGAAGGATCAGCCGTCAGACGCGCTCAGAGGGAGGCTCGGACAGAGACACACTGAGAGGAGTGTTTCCTGTGGAGAAATGTGGAAACAGGATTAGGTCTTATCGCTGCTCGTTGCCACAGACCGTGTTTGTGTCGAATGTATCGGATTAGAGGTCGTTATCTGCCCCTCTGCGCGCTCTGTCAACTCGTGGCTGTTTGTTTTCACCTCAGATTAGAGACGTTAATCTGCGTGATTGGTCCGCTGATCCCCGGAGACACATCAACAGGCTCCCTCTAGTTCGGGGTTTTTAAAACTCCTACATTGTGGTTTCTGCAGGTTTCCTTAACTCCTCTGCATGTGCAGCTCTCAGGTGTTCATGCGTAAAGGTGAACGAGGTTTGGAGAAGGAAATGTTTCAGGTATTTTTTAATGAAATAGTTGCTTTTTAAGAATAAGAAGAATAAGAAGAACTTTATTAATACCCAAAGGGAAATTCAGTTGTCTTTTTTTGAAGACTCCAAAATCAGGAAACTGGACTGTGTAGAGTTGCCTGATTTTGGAGTCTTCTAGAAAACCATGACCTGGATGAATGAGAATCTATATGGACAATTGTCTGTTGTCTCACATAATATGTCTCTAAAAGTTATCTAATATTTACACAAGAGTTATAAAGTCTGATGGCTGTTGGTACAAAAGATCTCCTGAATCTTTCTGTCCTGCAGCCAAGAGAGAAGAACTGTCCACCACCATTGGCCCTTTTGGTCCATCAAGGTGTTGTGAAGTGGGTGATCCATGTTCTTTAGAATAGACTCCACCTTCCTCAGTGTAGATCTCTCCACCACATCCTCCACTGAGTCCAGCTTTTGATATAATGTTAAATTTTGTGTTCGTTAAAAAAAAATCAATTGGCTCTGGAAAAACGGGCGTTTCGTTTTTATTATCATAAAATGGAAGACACTTGTTGCATTAATCAGCAGTGAACTACTGCAGCTCCACTTTACCTCTTTGCTCTAAAACACTTCTGTAAACTGACATTCAGGGTCTGTATTTCAGCAAACACATATTCTGTTTTTTTTGTTTTGTTTGTTTTTGATGCTGGAATCACAGCTTTGAAACATTTAAATATTATATTTTAATCTGTGAGACCACGACACAGTTACTTTATCACATTTTAACCATTATTTTGTATGATGTATAAGTATCAGGATGGTTTACGATAAGCAGGGCTGGCATATGACTGATTCAACATGCCAACATTGGGACCTGCTTGATTCCAGAGTCTTGCACCATGTTGACAGGTCTGCAGGAAGTTGCCGCTTGTTTATCATAAGGTGCTGGAGTAAATTTGTTCTTATACAGTTTTGACTCCAAGTTAAATCTAGAAGCATAGCGGTGTTATTGTTTTCTATCACTGTAAGAGCTGAACTGCAGTGTGCTGAAAGAGACTACAAACAAACAAACGTCATCTTTTTGATGCATTAAACCTCACAGCCCTTTTCATTTGCCTGTCTGGGGTTTAAGTATATGAGGCACTGTGAATGCAGAATTTTTGCAAACTCTTTCATATCACATGAGGATCTCTTGATTCTCTTCATGTTGCAGGAAAACAAAGCAAACTGAGGCCGCAGGTGTTGCTTTAGATTAGAGCTGGGCGATAAACCCAAAATTTACAGATACCAAAATTTACGACAATAACTGACGTTGTTTTGCCCATGTCAATATTTTCAGTGTCAACAAAAAAAATAAATAAAAGTTGGGTTTGGATGTGTGTAGGTAGGCTAAGAGGGAAAGACAGGTGAGGAGATGGAGGACGGTTCAAAAGTTGTAGCGGCTGAAGTAGACGAAGTTGATGTGGGAGGGGGTGAGCAGCTTGTGGAGTAGTTATCGTCCGTTTATTGTTATCGAGGTGAACTGATCAATATATCGTGATATTGATTTGAAGTCATATCGCCAAGCTCTACTTTAGATTCTGGAAATCTATCAGGGGTATCTTGCATTTCACAGATGAAATGTGGATGGGTGCGTCTGTTAATTTAATTAAATCAAAAAAGGAAACGCTGCAGCTCCAGCTGGGATATTTAGATGCACATTGATAGGTCTTGTTAGAAATGTTTTTAACTGACAGTAAAACATTTGAAAAGTTGATAAAAACACCTTCATGTCACTGAACTTCATATAATCCTGCACATGATGTCACAGGGATACATGAGTAGTGCATCAGGGAGAGTTTGTATTGCACGTCTCAGAGAAATCTAATAACTCCGCTCATGAGCTGCTGTCTTCACCTCACACTGCACCCTGCTGCCTTCACTGTCCCTGCTCTGCGAGGACCTTCCAGTCCAATAAAACCTCTCTAAATTAATGCTGGTGGGTGAGCGGGGTGTGGAGTATGAGTTTGGGAAAAGCAAAGAGAGCTGGAGACAGAGCGATGAGGCTGAGGTGCGTACAGCCGAGAGGGAGAGCAAAGCAAACATTCCTGACTCGGTGTCTCAGCAATTTAATTAAGGTTTTAGTGAGATGCTGCAGCGAGCACCTCGAGGTGAAGGCTTAACGCTGCACCCCCTCCTCTCCATTTCCAGCTTGGACTAATCCAGGGGGTCAGCTAATAAGTGCTCGGGTCATGCCACCATGACAACTAAATAGGGGTGAACCTGGAGGAAAGCTCCCCAATCAGAGAGTTAATAACCCCATGAAGGAAGTTAAGCGGTACAAGGTGAGGAGGATGGAGCCGGGGATTGGACAGTGTGTGTGTGCATGTGTGTTGTGTGTGTGTGTGTAAGTGAGGCTTCAGTTGTTACCAGCCACACCAACTTAAAGCCCCTCCTCTTACTGGGGTTTAAGAGCGCCCTGTGGTGCTCTGAAGTTACACACTCACCCCCACACCCTCCCCTCAGGGTCACATTTCGGTCACTGTACCGCTGCTGCTGGAGGACATTTTACAGGGGAATAAAATCAGTGACACAAACGGCTGTTTTTATTTCCTACACTTTTCATTTCTTCCTGTAACACGTGATGCACCGAGGGCGACGCTTTTCTGAACTTTTCGTAAAAAACGGGTGCACTCTGGCTGTTTGAGGGGCAGGGGCGATAAAAATAAAAAGGGCACCTCTTGTATGACAGGCGGGCACCGGGGCACAGATGTTGTGATTAATGAAGAGCTACCTAGTAGCACTACAAAGTGCTTTACTTTGCACCAAAAAGGCATCTAATCATCTTGCATCCCTTGGTAAGGCATCCAGAGTTAACCTTTTTAGTAGGGCTGTCCCGATACAATATTAATATCGGATATCGGTCTAATATCATCAGCTAAAAAACAAATATTGGATTGTATCAGCCTGTATCCAAAATCTCCGGTATCATCACTCTGATACAAGCAGTCCAGAGTCCACTCCAGCACCTCTAGCTAGCGGCACCCAGATCCAGCATGCAGAGCCCACATGATCACAACAACAGTGTGTACTACGGTACTAACAAAGAAACAAGGAGTCGGAGTGATGTCGGCTGTGTGGCAGTATATTTCGTTAAAGTCCGAAAAAGACATTGCAGCTGTGTACAAAACTTGTCATGCATTTATTTACTTTTCGGTTTTATTTGGAAGGGGATCCTGAGTGCACTTTTTACTGGAACTTTACTGGAAGGACATCCAGAGTGCTCCTTACCTATCCAGATAGCATATTTCCATGCTTTGTATACTGGGAGGGCATCCAGAGAGTACTTTTATACGTTTAGTTTATCAAGAGGAAAAGCAGAGGGAACTTTTCTATGTTGTATCCACAGGGAGACAATCCATTAATTTTTAAATTCAGGTAGGGAATCCAGGGTTACAAGATTTTTCATATCCTAGATGGGCATCAAGAGGAACTTTTTCACTTGTTTTATGTCCTTGAAATGGATCCAGAAGAGCATCAGAGTGGGCACCGTCCACAAGTTGTCATTTGTAAGGGCATTCAGAGGACTTTTTATCATTTTACCACTAGGGGGCCAATCAGAGGTCAGTTTTCATGAATATTAAATGAGTGGGGCACAAGAGATCACTTATTATTTACTACAGGGGCATTTAAGAGGGCATTCTGCTGTGATTATTTCTATATAAGGGCACCAGCAGGAGGTAATTACTCATTCTCCCTGCTGTTCCCGTCTTGAATGTTTTTGCTGTGTCTTTTCCTGTTCTCTACATCCACCGTGTTTTTAACCAGCAGCTGTGACAGCTTTACCGCCGTAGAGAGGCTCGCTCTCAGCCTCACCCCTCCGCTCGATCTGTTTTCCATCATTTGCTCTCAGCCTCATATATATTCTTACTTAACTCCATTTTTACAAGTGCCGTTCAGTCTACCTCACGTCCTTTTGATACCCAGCTCCATCACAGACGTCTTTTGAAGGGGCGCAGATTCTGGCGAGCTACAGCGGTGCTGCAGATAGCGGCGAGGAGTGCTCTTGCGTACTTTATTCTCGGGTTTGTTTACACATTTAAAGGAGCTTTTAGTTTGTGGAGATTTTGGCGTCCCATGTGGACAAAGTGACGCTACTTATTTCTCAGATGGTTTTATTCTACATATGTTAAGGTTATTTTTCCAGACATAAAATCTCATGTAAGTTTCTCACTGCAGGTCTCATTTCTCATAACCCGGGTTTTTTTGAGTTTCAGTGCTTCTTCGGCTTAGCGTTTGCGGTTTAATCACAACACAATTAAAGTTAGAAATCAGCCCATTACACTTTAAAATCAGATGCTATGTATAAAGTTCCTACTTCGTACCAGACAGAATAAAAATCTTACATATTTTTTATTTGTAAAAATGATTGTACTGAACTGGGAGGGATTCAGGTGGACGTTTCTTAATTGGAATTGTGTGAACAGCAGCTTTGAAGACAAAGAGACCACATCTCACAGTTTTGCGTTTTCTCACCGTCACCAGCATGTTGAAGCTTGAACACTGCCTTTCTGTTTACTTTAAACACCAAATCAAGCTGCACATAAACATGCGAGGGGAGGAGGTCTGGATCCGTCCCCCCCTTCTTGCTGTTGTACAGATGTGTCGTTGAGGTGGGCCGGGGCTGCTTGTCGGCTCATTTGGGAGCGTTTAAGGAAGCGGGGAACACGCAGATGGAGCGGACGTCCAGCGTCAGGCCTCTGACTGCTGATAAATCATCCTGTTTTGGGGGGGTTGGGGGCTGACTCCCTCTCCTGAACAGGCCGACCTGGAGCTCTGCAAACACACTGAAACCATTTACTGCAACACGCTGGTTCTCTAATGTAGACTTTGCTTTAGTCCTGCAAACTTTTGACTAATTCGTGTTTCTAAGTTGAGGGGGGAAAAAAGACTCCTCTGCAGGTTTATCAGTGGATTTTGCAAAATTAAATGCTAATTGATTTGGTTATCTTTCAAACAAACATGCATGAAAGTAGCTGGGTCTCTCAGCTGACTTTTCAAACATGCTAATTTTAAAACGATGGCAGCTAGCATGGTTGCTAAATGTGTTCTCAGTTATCAGCACATAAAAACACTTGTGTTACATTTTTACAAGTTTCCTCCGACACCTGAGAAATCCTAGACTCAAACAGACAACCAGCTCACCAGACTTTCCTAGAATTCGACCCCCCCTTCCTCTTCGGCTTGACCACAGGGGAGGGTTTAGGGGTTGCTACTCCTTTACTAACCCTTGAAGCGTGTCTCTAAATACCTTCCCCCCTCATCCTTGCGGTGTGTTGTATAAACACAGTGGTTCAGTAGGAAGGTAAAGAGCGTGACACATATAGACTCCTTGTAACATTCCTGTGTGGTACCAGGAGGCACTGGGACAGAGATACCTCCAACATTCACGTTACCTAATACAGAAATACCAGACTGAGACCATAATCCCCATATGAGCAGGTTCTGCCTCACTTTCTGCTCTTTTTACAGCACATACGTAGACCCCTATGTGTGCTGGATGTGTCTTTAATATTTGAAGTGGACACAGTTTTCGAGAAACTGTAAAATTGGCAGTCAGGAGATCGAATTGCAAAGGCATGACTTGTAAATTGTGATCGAAATGTTGCATCTTCATCAATATGATGTGCTTGACAACAAACCTGCACCATTCGCACTGCACATGGTTTCCCCTCCATGCAATTGGGGGAAACGTAATTTTATGCTAAATTATGTGCGCCGCATCTGAAATTTAACATGATCATCAATATCAATGCGCCATTAATGATTTCTACTCGCACTGTGTGAGCACAATAACACACAACGGTATGTCCCACTTGTTGTGAGTCATCAAGGAGCGCATCAAATCCTGTCGGACCCTCTTCCACTAATGTCAAGGGTAACGTTTAAGCTTATACACGGTCTGTATAGCGAGTAGCGCGGGTAACATAACGTGAATGTAACAGCGTAGCTCCTGGAGCGGCAAGAGAGTGGGGGTATCAACGACCCCCACACCACCACAGCTGCCAAAATTTCTAGAGGAAACACTTCATGCATGAAACAATATACAGTTTAAGACTGTCAAACTTCAACACTGACATCATTATTAAACTTCTAGATCAACTGCGAGTGACCAACGAGGTAAACAAGACCATCAGTGTAAACTTCAAACACTTCTTTATTGTAGTTCATTATGTCTGACTCTTACAAACTGAAGCGTAATGTTCAGACAAAGTCATCCTGCTGCTTATCTTTCAGAATCTTTATTTTATCTGAAAAGTTTGTATAAAAAAAAAAAAACTCACTTCTAGAAATCGACAAACTCTCCAGACTAAAGATAAAGAGTTTATGTAAACAGATTGTCTAGATGACACCTTATCTGTCTGAGGGCTGTAAGATAACACACACCTGCGACATGCAGCAGTTCTTGCACGGCCTGCGGGCGAGGGGAGGAGTCTGTGAGTCGTTACGTGAGCAGGTCTGGGGGTTTGGGTGTGGTAGATTAGGGGAAGCCCACCTTCCAGCCCTCTTTTTCTGAGCCCTTCACTCTTTTTTTGTGTCCTGGGGGCACATAGTCTACCTCTCTTTCATCCCTATTCAACAGCCCTCATCCCTCTACACACACAAACACACACATGCTGACTGGAGGGAGACAGTGACTCTGGGGCTGCAGAGGCCTCACAGAGCTCTTCAAAGAGCGGGGGTCTGGATCTGAGGGGTTCTAAACAGGTTAAAGTCACAACAGGTGAGGACAGGCGCTGTTTGACACACCAGGCGTGTTGGTTACCATGGACGCGTGCACTGCAGTGAGGACCACGCTCGTGTCGTGTGTGTGTGTCTGGACGTGTGTTAGATGGCTGAGCCGCGGTCGCCTCAGGTAAAACCTTGAGCTACCGTTTGTCTGCGCTGCATGTGGTGTCGTGTTTCTTTTTTACGCTGCTTTTGTCGAGCGGTCGACATGTAAACTGTGTTACTGTGCAACAGCCAGTCTGGGTGTGTCTGAGCGCATCTGAACTCATGAATTGTTGTTGAAGCGGGTGGAGTAAAAGACGGGGAAGGTTATTCATGTTATTAAAGAAAATATGCTGTAAAGATTCACATATTTGCTAAAGATCTCGCTCGAAGCAAGCAAGATGGCCTACAGTCAGAGCTGAGATCCAGTTGAGTGAGTTTTCTTCTAAAATATGTGCTCAGTTTGTTCATTCTTACAGGACTCGTATGTTGACCTTTTACCTTCAACACGAATGACGTTAGTTTTAAAGGAAGGAAACAACAACAACATCAAATTTTGGCGAAGGATTTTACAAACTACACCTCACCTACACCCTTCGTAGAAAAGAGTTCCAGCTGTGAAGACGTCATGACAGTATGATCTGATGGTAGCATTAGCAAGCAGCTCTAAATACTCTAAATTGTACTTTTTCCAGCTGTAGCTTTTCAGTCTTTACTTTGTTATAATGACATTTATGGCACTTTTTACTGCAAAGATTCAGGACCTCACAGCGGCATCAAGACCTCTTTCCTCAAGAAACAAACTGGTGAAATACACAATCAGACAGCAGCTAAGTTTGACTCGATTAGAGAGACCGGATAAAGACCATAAATAACCAGGCGACATTTATCACACTGGGTTAGACTGGAGGTCAGAATCATCTTAAAGGAGACATATAATGAGTGATGAGGAAGTCACTGCGCACAAGGGTGGATCGAATCGAAATTAATGAGCGTAAATGGATGTTGAGTCTTTCATTTGCAGCTTCCTGAATGGATATAAAGTAAATTACACACTGGATAGAGTTTAATTCATCGCTTGGTGAGAGATGATGTGTGATTGAACCCTAATGGGTCAGAGTGAGTCATGCATTAGTGCAAGTTTATCAACAGAAGCGTCTGCTATTTCAGCTGAATCACGGCTCTGTCTGCAGGTGTGGCAGGAAACTCGTCCTTCAACAAATTAAACCGGGAAAATAACGACTGATGTGACGTTACTGGCCCACAGTCAGACATTGTGTTTGTGCAGAGTGATGAGAAGTTAATCTCGAAGTCTATTTGCTGAAAGTACAGTTGCTGTCTGTGTTGTACTGACATCATGAGCCCTGTACTTCCACTCTTAAACCAATGTGAAATTCTCCTGTATTATGGTATTTTACCCAGAAGAAGTACGAAGCAGTATGGATATATACTGAGGCACTTTTTAGCTCCTTTTTCTTCATTAGGTCATATTGATGCAGTGGGGGTTAAATATGAAATAAATAAACCGTGTGGAGGGCTGCTTAAACTAAAAAAGACTCAGTTTCAGATGACAAATGAGCAGCAGAAGGAAGTGACCTGAGTCTCAAATTATGTGTTTCTCTCACTTAGCGTTGCAACTGAAAAGCTAAGCTAAGCTACTTTACTGTGAGCTGACTTCATCATAAAAACAACCAGCACTAGAAAGAGCTACACATCTGCGTAAAGACGACACATTGCTGAACGGGATAAAAGTTTCAAGACAAACGGTATAAGAACAGGATTGAAATCCTAGTGCCACTTAAATTATAGGTCTTCAAGGTATGTTTTAATTCATCAACATCCCTGCTCGCACGAATATTTCTGTCCTCTCTTTACAACTTAATGTGGGAACTTTACAGAAGGGAGAACAGGGAAATACTGGCGATATTATCAAGGTGAAAACTTTTGCCTGTGCACCTTAACACGTGCAGCTCAGGCTGAAAATTTTTTGGAAGTTTCCTGAAGTTTTGTGAAGACAGCTAAAGTGACAGATCTGGATATCATTCACAGAGTTTCTGAGGTGCTCAGCTTCCAGAGCAGTGAGAGTGAAGGTATTCAAACAACACACGGTGGCGAGTTATAAGTGTTAGAAACTGTTTCTGTCGAGTCATCCTAAGTGTTGTTTTATGGTACGGCAAACTTTAGATCAAAAAGTAGCAACAAGTACTTTTTAAAAGAAGGTCCTAAGGTGACAGCATGAAAAAGTTCGGAAATTTGGAGTCAAAGTAAAACAAAAAAACACTGATTTTGAAAATGTAAGATGATCACACAAAAGTCCAAATTACGAAAAAGCTAAATGCCAGAGAAAGTCCATAACTTGAATACTCATACACCGATTGTTGAGTAGGCACAGCTCCTCTGTCACTGACACACACACTCTCGATCACACATGCATGCACACACAATCACAGTGTCTTCCTTGGAGGCCTCAGTGCAGCTGGCAGGGGATTAAGAGGTCAGGAGTCAGAGGCGAGGACCAGTCAACCCACAGACCGCGACAAGAAACTGACGAAGCAGAAGAGAGAGAGGGAGAGAGAGGGGGAGAGAGAGAGAGAGTGCTGAATCAGAGCTTACAAATCACACTCCCAAAATAAGAAGGAACCTCCTCTTCAGACAGAGGAGGTTGTTTTGGTTCGCCATGTTTGCTGTCGACCCAAAGCTGACTGTCTGGTGATGCTCGGACCACCTCGGAGAGACAAGCACATCAAAGCAGCACGTTCAGGCTTGTGCGAGAAATTCGTCTGTTTCTCAGTTTGTTTATCACGACGAGTGCAGGTAAAGGTCAGGATTTCAACACTCTGAGGCGCTCTCATTGTCAGACATCTGAATAGTTAACGTCAAGTTTAATAACGAACAGGACAGTGAGCAAAACTGTATGAAAACAAGAAGGGATATTAAAAAAAGATGAAAGTCATGGGGTTAAAACGATTCAAAACTGTAAAAGTGAGAGTGTTTTTGTTCATTAAACGGCCTCGTCTGGCGCTGCTGTGAGAAAAAGCAAAGGCAGAGCAAAGCACTGTATTTTCTTCATGTGGTTTTGTTGGCTGTAAAAATGGGAGTCAGATATTACAATATGCAGAGAGGCGTGAATAATTACACCGAGCAAACAACTGTGAGTATGAACTATCAACACATCAAAGTTATTGTTTTGGACTCGAGTTTTATCCTCATTATTCACACGTGGAGCCCAGAATGGATATAGCAAACAAAGTGGGTATGCTGATTGTAAAACGTCCAAAAGACAGAGAAAATAATTTATAATTTGAGTTTATGTGGCTCTTAAATGGACCCTTTATCTGCCCACTGAACCCAGTGCAACTGTCTCCGTGGGCGAGCCTGTTTTCCTTCCCTTTTTGAACGTGGACATGTTGTTCACAGATGAGACGCCACTTCAAAGAGTTGCTAAGTGGATCAAGAGTTATGCTGCAGCAGCGTTTTAATCCAGACTGGCAGGGCGGGGGATGGGGGTGGGGGGGTACTGTGTGAACTGGCCTGTTCGGTAGACTGACAAGATTATTAAGTATAGAGGATAAAATTTTGTCTTTTTCATGTTCAATGAAAATGAAGCTGAAACACTCAGAGCTCCCCCTGGTGGCCGGCTGCAGTATGAGTATTTAGATTAAGAAATCTTGGCTTAAAAATAAGTCACCAGATCAGTGTTAGCGGAGATTTGGTATCACTTTTTCTCACTGGGAGGAGATGGAGGTGCATCATCCATATTTAGGAATAACTGGGTTTTGGTCACGTGATTATGATGACACGAGAAGGCGGGGGCGCTTTCAGATGGAGGGCAGGAAGTAAACATGGAGAACACGTACATAGAGCAAACCACTGCAGAGAGTCGGTTTTGTACGAATGTAGATCCAATTTCAAGACAAAGATACGAGCAATTAATTAGCAAATACGTTGGATGTGAGTTTTCAAGATTTGCCGACAATCAAGGCTGTTGATATCACCAACTATCTGGTCCTTCAGACATCCCACGACACCAAACAGCAGATGAAAGCCTTTAAAAGTCTGGAGGCATATGACTTTTTTGTCAGCAGTTGGGTCCACAACCTCGAAACGAAATGTTTTTTCGGTTAGTAACCGAAGTTGACTGTCGGAGCCCAGTCTACCGACTCAACGTCGCCCAAAGCGCGAGGGCAGCCTAAAAAGTCCAGATGAAGTCCAAATAAGTCTACCAATAACTTAATCCTAATTAGTATGTAAAACGACCACAGACATCGGTTTAAAATACACATTTTACGGCGTTGTTCTGTGAATTTTCTCATCTTTGTGTGCGAAGATCTTAGGCACTCGATAAAACTTATATTCCTTTTCACGATTCAAACAATTCCAGCAGCCGTAAAGCCCACAAAACATCGGCATTCTCTCAGACAAATCTTCAGTAAATAAACAGTAAAGAAACACTTCCTGCCCTCCATCTGAATTTCGCGCTCTCGCAGTGCAACATTATGACATCACGTAAAACCCGGCTATTAGCTGGCACACTAAAACATATACCCTAGGTAAAGTCATTGTACATCAGTCATTATTTGAGGAAATAAATTGCACGAAATGAAAAGATTCAAATTATTACTCTTGTAGTCCAATACCCGCTGGACTCGTTATTAAATTTAACCGAGGAGACTGTGTTTATTTCTTTCTGTCAGTTCTGTGTAATCAGTGAATGCGTTAGCCATGGCTGCTAGCTAAACCAAGACCCTCCATAAACACAGACGGACCAGCTCAAGTCCAAGACAAGCAGTCAGCGGGTCAGTCTGCTGCAGGAACGCCGCTCTTTACCAAAACACACCAGACTGTTGCTCTCATTGGAACAGATGGGACGAATTAAACAAACTGAGGTTGCAGAGATTGATGGAGTCATTTCACAGCCTCATAGCAAGACAATGAACTTAATATATCCGTGTGGAGTTTGAGTAAGTCGATGCTTATTTTGGAGACTTCCTGAAATTCCCCGATCATCACAATTTGACTGCTGCAATCATTCAGAAAGGCTGGAAAGGTCCATATAATATGCTGCAACTCCTCAAGCTTCACAGCGGTGACTGATAAACCAAACATACCATTAACTAAACTTGTTGCCCAATCTGGAATCTGGTCATATAAATGTCTGCCTCATTAGAGTGAGTCACAACCGGGCTGAGGGGAAACAAATGCAGCGCAGTCTGTCAGCCAAAGGGCAACAACACATCAGGGATGGTGTGCCGGACAGCTGGGTAAGCAAACAACACGGCGCATTGAGACATAACTGTGAGTCTGCTCAGTAATGACCCCACAGTTGATCAAACATACAGTATTTTCATAATTAGCAGTTTGAAGAACAGCTGAGCCTACAGAGGCGTTTACAGGACTTCATCTGAACCGTTTTTGTGGCTCACCTCGTTCTTACTCGATAAATTTTCAGTTTGTATCAGAAGCATCAGAGGGGCAAAAACTTGAACAAAAGTTATTATATAATATGGTTCTGGTCCAATACTGTGGGACTAGTTTGGCCAAATGTTTGCTCCATTTGGGCGCAGTGACTGTAAGAAATAAGAGCCATTGAAAGAAAGTACCTAAAGGTGCAGTATGTAGTATGGGAACAGTAATATTTATACATACGCTTGAAGGAAATTAACTAATGGACATTTTTCGCTGTAATAAGTGGAATATCATAATTTTGCATCACAGGAGCTTTTTGTCCTTGAAGGTAGGGGTGTCCCGATACAACTTTTTTACTTCCGATACGATACAGATATTGTAGCCTTCAGTATTGGCTGATGGCACAAACTTGTGCATGACAAGTTTTGCACTCAGTTGCAATGTTTTTTTGGAATTTAACGAAAAATAGTGCCACACAGCCGACATTACTCCCTCACACTGTTGTTGTGATTACGTGGGCTCTGCATGCTGCTAGATAGAGGTGCCGGAACGGAGTCTGGAATGGACTGCTTGTATCAGAGTTCTGATAACCGAGATATCCGTTTTTCTTTTGCTGATATCGGACCGATATCCGATATAAATATTGTATCGGTTCGAATGGTTTCCTACTTGAAGGCCAACATTGCCTCACTGACCAGAGGGGTGAGCAAGGGAGTTTTTCAACACACACTCTGACAAGAAAAGTATTTCTTAGTGAAATGTACCATCCTAAAGTGCAGTGCTGTCGAAATTTTCCTACAGGGTGTCAGCAGGAAGCAGGAAGACACTGCAGCGGCAACTACAGTCAGCAATAAGGGACAAAATGGTTCGCAAGTCTAAAAGAATCAGGTATTTATTTCAGACCTTATTGTGATCCTATTGTGATCTACGTTTTAACACGGTTACATGATCCTGATGATAGAGACAGATGCAGACCTGATGGATTGTTGTCAAATGCAATCTTCCTGATTTGTACATACACTTTTTTCTTTGCTCACACTCAGACTCACACCATGTTTGGGTTTGTTGTCCAGCAGTTTTACTGACGTGTTAAAACTCACAGATTTTCCCATGTGTTTGAACCGACCCGATATTATCTCCAAAGGAAAGTTACAGGAGCGCAACGTCCCTCTAACTGGCCCGTTTAACTCCTTTAAAACTCATCTAAGCTTCAAACACTTAAAACTTTTTAAGTATAAAGATAAAAATCGGATCTCTATTAGTCTCTTCTGCTCTACGGTTAATTTCTTCTTCTATATCATTAAACTTTCACGTCAGAAATGACTCAAAAATACTTCCAAAACACAGAAATCAATTATGCTATCAACGGAAAATCAAACGAGGTCACTTGTAGCTGTGAGGGGAGCAAGTCTGCGTGTTTTTGTGTGTGTGTGTAAGTGTGTGTATACTTCATCCATCCACACAAACACAACATCGTTTTTCTCCCCATTTCCTGTGTAAATTTCCCATCAAGCCTCAGGGCGTCTTTCAAAGTCGTGTGTCAGCGCCTGCTCTGCAGCCGAGCGTGAAGTCGCCATTCCTTCACATTTCTGGCCTCCGTTCACTCTTAACATGGTGTGTGGTGAGGACAGCAGGAGACTCGGCATAAGGTTGATATGTTTGCAACCGAAAACAACCAAAGAAACCAAACAAGCAAAAGCATTTGATAAAAAATTTTTTTACCAGTGCCTAAAAGTTTATTTTTTTCTACTTTTTTCCATTTTTTGTGGATGTTTTGACACTTTAAAATGTCAGATTAGGACATAGTTTTATAGTTTAAACAAGAAACTGGTTGATTTTAGAGCAGGGTGCTGGTTTCACAACTTTAACTTTTGAAAGTCTTTGACAGCACTTTCTTTAACTCCTCCCCTTTTCACACCTTGATTCTCGGGTCGTCCTTCATATTTTTCACTCTTCTCACGAAGCTTCTTTCTTCTTTTGTTTGCCTGTTTGCTCTAAATTATCTTGAATTGGGATATTTTTACACCAAAGTCGGTGTAAACGGATGTTAAAGTTAGTCTCTTTGGAGTTTAGGTTGCTCATTCAAAGTTTTAGGCGTTTGATCAGACTCTTGGCTAATCCTGCCTGTGTGGATTGTACTTACATACAGTATAAGTAATAGGCTCCAATATGAAATCATTTTAAGAAAATATTCAGGCCCACAAATCTTAATCAGATTATTTGATTATGACGATGTTAAAAAAATTAAAATGCTTGAATCAATTTTCCTCTTTATCTTGTCTCGCACCTCCAGGCCACCGTAGGCTCCCCCTTCCTGCAGGAGTACCCCACAGAAAAAAATCAGGATTTTATTTTATGGCCAAAATCGTGCAGCTCTAGGCCCTACTTCGTCATCTTGAACTTTCAAGGGTCAAAGTGACAAAAACAAAACAAAAACTAACACCGCGTGTCAACAAGTCTTCATCTCCAGACTTAATTTGAAGTGTGTTTCGCTTGCAAGCTTTGATGACATTCAATAATGAAGAGACTTTTTTTTTTTTTATATCAAGTTTAAGTTCACCCACTTTCTTGCGAAACAAGAAAAGTATCAGTAGAAATAAATCCTGTAAGTCCAGGGGCAGAAAATACCATCCCACCTTAAAAAAAACAAACACAGGGGGCAAGACAGAGTGTTAACATGACCTCTGACCTCATGCAACTGAATCACCGGTGGGGTTATTTGAGCTGCTTTTTGAGCACCACTTACAGCTGCAGAGACGCACAGTACAGTCGACTTCACACGGGACTCAGAGTGAGCAGCTCCGTATTTAAGGTGAACGTTCACGAGTGTGTTTCCCTGCCGACTGTGAGACGTGAGCAGACAAAAGAGGGTCTGGTTTCTGTCTTGATTAACGGCCTGTCGACGAGATAAGCGCTCTGATTAATTTACGTGTTTATGTGTGATGTCATCAGCAGTCCAAACCAATCAAATTTGAGAGTTTGGGTAAACAGTCATGGTTTCTGCAGAAGAGAGTCACTACATGACTGCTCCATGAAGACTGACTTTCTGCACATTACTCATCTGGCTCAGCAGGGCCGCTCTGTAGCCACCCTCCACCCTGTGCAAATTACGATAAGGATCTACTCTTGTAAACTTGTAAACCAAGCAGACGTCCAGACATGACTCTGAGCAGCACCGGAAAGAGTTAAAAAATCAGATTTGTCTGTTCCTGCGGTAAAGGCGGCCTTTGTTTCAGGGTCGTGAACCGGCCGAGGTCACTGGCTTCAACTGAGCCAAACAAACACACACGCGGTTCAGTTTGCACTAATTGATTCCTCTCTCCAGCAGGGACAAGAATGAGAGCTGGTGTGTGTCTAAGTGTGTGTGTTTACTTTAAAGAGTCTATCAGGAGTTTAAGTAAATAGATAAGTGACAAAGTAAACACCCATCCCACACACACACACACACACAGAGGCCAACACAACTTCCTGGTTAACAGTTCGTATCACAAACTATGAGCTTTCTCTTGGTTCATAATCTCAAGGTGAACCCTTTCGCCAATTATAATCCAATTATGAGTGTGTGTGTGCGTGAACATGTGTGCGTCCTGACTGGCAGTTTTTCTAGAAGTCCCCTCAGCAGTAAATCCGTCCCCACTCTCTGACCTAACTCGGGGTTAATGAGGTGATCCAGCAGCAGGGGGGAGACGGCTGGCAAAGACTTGGGCTGTGTTTCACTTTCTGTGCGAGTACATGTTGCAGAGGCAGCGTACACGGCGTGAAGGTGTGTTTGCACGAGACAAATAGGATCTGCAGTCGTGGGATTGTAAATAACGGCGCTGATTGTTTGTGATTTTCCGGTGTGAATGCGCTCTGCCTGTAAATTTCCAGCTCTAATGACTGAGCAGGTTTTGGTGATGACAGAAGTCCCATGATAACACCAGAGCGTGCAGTTCGTAACCTACTGCAGAGGTCGTAATGGAGTCACAGGGGCTTTTCTTTGCACAGATTTCAAATATAAATGTGCAAAAACTTTGCAAGTTCTTCAATAAAGTCCAATATAAAATGTATTCTGCACAAAAATGTCTGGTACAGTTGTAATTATTCTTCACTAAAGCTGACAGCGAAGTACAAAGCTGACAGGTGTTTACATGCTGACTTTTCTGTCATGCATGGGTCCTTATTGAGCCTGAGTGCCAAGATCACAGTTTGATGAGACCCTTTTTCTGATTTAAACAAGCCCTAAAATCTGCAGAATAAAGTCCACTTACAGACTGTGTGATCCAATATGGACATTCTTGCAAGAGTGCAGAAGAGCTGAAATCAACATTTGGGCTCCTGTGAGGATTGTTGTGTTTGTGTTAACTTTGGCGCCCCCTGTGGACAAAGCAGTTTAGCTCATTTTGTCCACTTCACGCTAAAGTAAAATCTCATCCTGCTGACTTTCAACCAGCGAATCTTTCATTTATTTAAAAATGACAACAATGCTACTAATTAAAAAAGTTAAGAGCACACAAAGAACTTTAGGGGCACAATGAAAATTTTTCAAATAATGTTGGTCTTGTGGTCGACATAAGTACTATTATTTGAAATCAATTTTAGGTCAATTGGTCACATGACATGGAAGCTATTGAAGGTAAACAACCTTTTCTGAGAACATCAACCGGTAATTTTTTAATGGTATTCAACACCCGACGTGACAGCATAGGATGCCATGTAGATTTAACCGCGCTGCTGTTACTATTCCTGGTTATGGAGAGGAGAAGACACCAGTAGATCTGCAGTGAATGTCCGTCGAATATCCAACCTCAAACTAACTTAACCGTGGTATTTACATGAAAAAACATTTGTGGCCTCAGCTAAATTTTTTATGCACACATGTGACCCTAAATACATTTTACAATTCGCACACATCTATTTTTAGTTGCAAATGCGAGTGAAATGGTCGCCCTGTCGAGCCCTGACCATAAACTCTCAAAATTAACTGTCGTGTCCTCTTTTTGGGGATTCAAAATATGGTTCACCATAATGTTTCAGTTAAATGTTAAAAGATACACGATCCGACCCGCAAAACTCTCAAAATTAACAGTCGTGTCCTCTTTTTGGGGATTCAAAATATGGTCACCATAATGTTTCATAAATATTAAAAACTAACTTTGCAGTCTTGAACAAAGGCCCAATTCCAGATAAGCTCAGTCCAGTTGCCACAAACACAACTCCTCATTCTGGACCAAGTATGAAAACAGTGCCACAGCATGCTTCAGTAAGATGAGAACCGGGTTTAGTGTTTGTATTAAAGCAGAGATAAGCAGCAATGCTACAGTATGTGTCCGGACTTGCAGATGCTGGAAGGGAGGCATCCACCACCCCTGACTCGCCCCCACAGTCCAGCCCAACCTGCACCCTGCCAGAGGCCACACTTTGGTAACTGACAGCTGGGCTTAACAAGCGTGAAGGGGCCCCTTTATGGGTAAGAGTCCCACAGGTGATCATCAGTCAGTAATCAGGCCTGGAGGAGGGATGGAGGGAGGCAGGAGATAAAGGGGTGACGAGTGGTGATAAGTGAAGTATGTGTGACTCTGAAGCTGTAAGATGTCAGGGTGCAGTCGGGAAGAGATTCATGAAGAAGTTTTGTGCGCGGAAAACAAGGCGAGTGGAAAACACCGCCAACCTCTCCAGGAAAATATTTACTGCTTCTGCGGCTTCTGTCGGCATCTCGGCTTCAGGCTAGATGCCGTTTCCAGATGTAAACGGCTCATTAAGATGAGCGACAAGTGATGGCGGGGCAGGAACTGACAGATCAGAGCAGTAGGAGTGAAGAACTAATAATACACCTCACTACTTTGAGATGATAGGTTCAGCCTATAGTACCCCCTAAAATACTTTCTTACCTTGTCTTTATGGACCCCAGATTTGGGAATTGTGTTCAAGGTGACCCCTCAAACTCAGTTTTTCAGCTGTTCCTGTGAGTTACAGACCGTGCATACTTACTGACGACTGCAGAGGTTTTATTGAGTACTCAGAAACATGTCTGAGTAACTACACGATCCGATACTTCCACGGAAGGATTACACAAATTTGTACAAGCAGCTGGAAGGGTAGGAAAGAAAAGTGTGGACATGTTTAAGAGGGTTGCTTGTTCTGCCAGTTGCCTGCTGGCACACCTGTATGAAGGCGAGTACAGGTGACAGGCTAATTTTCAGTCGTTGACAGACAGTTTCGGGCTCGGAGCCAGTGGAGCGTGCAGGCATATAAAAACACACAGTCAACCTTTTCATTCAGGACTGCTTTGGAGCGGCGACCGCAGGAGGACTCGGCGTGCTTGTGGCGCCGCGTCGCTGGCGTTAAGACTTTCATCACCTCAGTGGAAAAACCGGTGTCGCAAAGAGTCAACCAGGAGCAGGGTGTGTGCCCAACTGTGCCACGAGCAAACACCAACCTGCTCTCCTCTTCTTCTACTTCCTTTGATACTCTGTGCTTCATGCAAACTGTGCTCACATGGAGAGTTTGTGCAATCCAAAGTAGACCAACTCTAGTCTCCTTAGATTTCTATTCAAGAAGTTTATTCATTTAAACTCTGATTGCATGGACATGTAATTGGATTAAGACCTTGTATGGTTTGTGAACTATGGATGGCTGTATGGATAACAGGGTTCACATTGAGGTTAGCTGCAAAAAAAGGACCGCTAATACCGCTAATTGTTTGTAGCTGTAAAATCACAAAAAGAGGTTGAAGTTTTCAAAGCATTCAACAAAATGTTTCACAAGAGGCGCATTTTTACATTTTCACTCTAAATAGTCACAAAAAGTTGAAGTTTCATTGTCAAAAGTCAGCCGAATGAGTCAATGTGTCTTAGAAAACATTCAAGAAATGTTAGTACACCTGTGTAGATCTGCAAATAAAAGTCTGTTTCACTAAGAATCATAAACTGTGCAGAAAACTTGTTTAGTGTGGAATAATCATGATTGTTGCTTATCTTGAACTGGAGTATGTTGGTGTACTCTGTACCTGACGTGGGCTTCGCTATAAGCCAGCTCCCTGTAGCTCCGAGTCAGTGGAGTCATGGGTCAAGGCTTCAGTTTGTCTCCTACTCCTCAAGGTTAGACCACAAGGAAGTTGGTGAGTTAAGATTACAAACTCAATCTTTCAAGAATGGGTCAAAACATGTTCTACCAAAGTAAAGGTTTTGTAACTGTAAAGACTGCAATGAGTGAGTCAGCTGGCGGAAATACCAGAGCTCTAATAATGAAATACCAAAAGGCAATTAAAGGTTTCCTGAAGTTTCACCTGTTGAACTGTGAGAAAGGCTTTTGTTTCTATTCCTCTGAAACTTTAACAAACACACAAACTTCTCTAGTATCAGAAAGTTGTCTCAGCAGTTCTATTTAGATCTATTTCATCTGGAATCCAAATCTGCCTGTTCGGTTTTGCCCACAAACTTCTCTGCAGATTATAACAGGCAGCGTCTGGTATTTTTCTGGCGAGGGGTTGATCCACTGATCCCTTTACAGCAAACTTTCCAAAACTCCAGGGCTGAAGGATCGAGGTCTGACAAGCAGCAACAGCACACCTTAATGTCACTCTACATGTTTATCATAGCAGCAGCAGCATAGTTGGCATCTCTGCCATACCTGACTCAGACAGCAAAAAACACACTGGCGTCGCTAAGGCTGCCTGGGCCACTGATGATGATGATGATGATGATGATGATGGACTCATTAACTGCAGTTAGTGCAGTCTATGTCATAACCTGTATTGACCTGAATTTAAGATGGACTTTTTCACTCATGACACATCTGAAAAAATCGGATCGTCTTACTGTAAAATCCACTCCTTCCGTGAGATCGACAGTGTGTATCTGTAACATCCAGGTTTTCTACTCTACTTTAAATTTCCAGAGACTATCCAGATCTAATCCTTTAAAAATGTAGATATTTTGTGATGATTTGTGTGGAATATTTTTAGGGAAATAATGCTATTTCTGTTGTTAGTTGGCCATGCTAATAAAGGCTCCCATCTCGGTTTTGGTTCATTAACCATTTAGAGGCAAATTTGGTGATCACTTGACCTGTAAAGGTTCAGTGAGAAGCCATGCAACCTATGACATACATCACAGCCTGCACATGGTGTAGAAATCTAAAATACAGAACTGTTTAAGTAGATATATCATTGCGGGCACTGCTCTGCACACTCCTCTTCACGCTAGCTTGCAGCCTAACATTGCCGGTGAAGTAGAAGTGGCAGGTAACATAGGAACTATTCAGCTCTCAGACACTGTCTTTAGTGGCATGGTGAAAGCCAATATCATAATTAGCTTTCTTACGAGCATTGCAATCTGCTAATGTACACGCTTGTTCCGCAATTGTCCTTTCTATTTCTCTGAGTCTGACCTGCATAGCAGAGTTCAGGGGGCGGAGTTTGGATTTGCTATGAAGGAAACTTCACTGTCTGAACCTGCTGTTTGGGTCTGCCAGAGATTCACAGCAATTTGAATGCAGAAATACTCAGAAATTGCAGAAATGCAATTTTCACTTATTATTCTCATATGTCCTGGAGTGTCTGAAAAAGGCCATATGAACAAGTAGACAACAAGAGAAACATGATTTTAAGTAAAATATCATCCCGCTGACTTTCAACCAGCAAATCTATCATTTATTTAAAAATGACAACATAAAAATTATCTGCTAGAAATCCAAAATACAGAACTGTTTAAGTAGATATACCACTGCGGGTTAATTCTAGTATCAATAGATCTGTGCTCTTTTTTGTGCTTGATTTACACATGATCATTTTGTATTTCATTCAGCTGCCAAAATCATGATACTGACAAGAGTATGCATATCGATCATTACAGTCAGATTAGCAAGATTAAGATGCAAGATTGAGGGGTGAATAACAGCTAACATCTCGACCAATCATTTGTGGACATCTGTTTCTAGAGGGCAACAAAAGCTCACTAGTATCTACATGATAATTTGGCATGTTTCTTAAGCTGCTGGAAAAACCTAATCTCTTCTACTGTCTCTCAGAAATCTGCTCATGAAAAGTTCTATTAATAGTTTGTGTTGTGCTGAAGTCGAGCTGTGAAAATATGAGCGCAGCATTCTTGGGGCAGACACCAGAACCTCACCATGACCCTGGCTGTGACCTGTGACCTCTGAACTTTGACTTCCACATGGAGGCTAAAGAATTACTGAGCTGTATGTAAACCCATTTCTGTCCAAGACAAAGAAGCTGACTGTTCGGCCTTCAGTTACTCGCGTTGATGCAGGAAAATCATCAGAGACAGAATCGCCACGGTCAAAGTCAAACATACAAAGGGGGATTAGGGCCACATGAAGAAAAAAAAAAATTACAAGAAGGAGGTTAAAGTCGAAATTTCGAGATTAAAGTCATAAATTCGAGATTAAAAAAATCAAAATTATGTCAATAAAGTTGAAACTTCGAGATTAAAGTTAAAACTTTGAGATTACCAGATGTCAAAATGTTGTGATTAATGTTAAATACGAGATTAAAAAAAAAAAGATTTTGAGATTAAAGTCAAAATTTTTTAGATTAAAGTTATAACTTTGAGATTAAAAAAAAAATCTAAATTATGTCAATAAGGTTGAAATTTTGATATTAAAAACTGAAATTTCAACATAAAGTCAAAGTTTTAAAAGATTAAAAATTTGAGGTTGAAGTCGAAATTATGAGATCAAAGTTGTAATTTTGAGATTAAAAATCGACAATTATGTCAATAAAGCCGAAATTTCAAATTTAAAAATTTAAATTTCAAGATTACAAAATGTCAGGAATAATGTTGAAAATTTGAGATTAAAAAAATTAGAATTTTGAGATTAAAGCAAAATTTTGAAATTAAAGTCAACAAGAATAAATTTGAAATTTTATCAGCTGAATCGTTACCTCAAGATTAGAATCGAAATTAGGAGATTAAAGTCATTGCAAATAAAGATGAAATTTTATGAGTAAAGTCATAATGTTGAGATTAATGATAATGAATCAACAGCACTGTCGCTCCTCACTCAACGACATGTCCAGTTTCGCCAGGGTTTGGCCCTTAAATGACAAGATTAAGAAGGACATCAGCTCACAGAGAATATGTGAGATTCACCAAAGAGTCAGAGAGTGGTGGATGTAATCAATTTTTAAAGGACAGTTCCACTGTTTTCTGGCTCTTTAGCTTGAACAAATATCATCCTCATGAGTCTCCAACCATGTCAGACCTCATCACAGCTGTCACTCTACAGTCTAGACAGCAGTTGTCACCACTCAGGTGTTAACGGCTGCAGCGATCATGATTAAGGTTCTGCGGATGTCTCACAGCCTCTGTTTAGTTCATGTCATAAAACTTTGCAGCTCTGCACTAAACAGCCTCGTGGATTAGTTTCATCAGGAGATGGAGAGAAAGTACTGCGTAGGATAAACCTCACCTATGGCATCCACACGTTTGATGTACAGGGCGTTTCTTTCAGCTCAAATTTGCAAGGTTGAAATTTATTAAATGAAATTGTTGTTTTTGCACTTTGTAGAGAATGATTTAGATTAAGACATTCAGTAACTGATTGTACGGGTCGGCTTTTCAGAATATTCCACTTCGGGGAGTTTCTGCGTTGTTTGAGTTGGGGGTAGGTTTGCACCACTAACTCATGTCCCCTAAAGTATGAAGTCATCTCCCCTTGGACCAACTCGCTCTAACTCAATTTACGATCCTTCTATCTCATTCTTTGTCCCTTCAGTGCAGATTTTACTGTCCCTTCACCTCTGTTACAAGGCCTCTAAATCTTTTCGCAGCCCTTTACCTGTAACTGGTACTCCTGGAAATCTTGAAAACCACATGAGTCTTTCTTTCTTTCTTGGAAGTACATCTGAGTCCTCTGAGTCTTTCCTGGCCTAGATTGTTGAACTGGATCATTACGTATCATATCTTCACAGCTCTGGGATACTCTACCACATGCAGCAGGTTACAGTAACGTATTATTTACTAACATATTACAACACTGCTTTATCTGGCTTTGTCCTGCACTTTGAGATCAGAGTCTTCGGATTGTGTTTACAGAGATTTTGGATGAATGGAGCTTCTATTCATGCAGCCAGCAGCTCTTAAAGACACCACATTTCTCCTCTGTCCCTCTCAGTTTACCTCTCACTTCGTCTTTTTGCCCCCCCTCCCTCTCTCTCTCTACCTTCTTATCACGGGGGAGGACAAAGGTTTATGTGGGCCTTTCATTCTGTCTCACAGTGAGAGATGGCTGCAGTGGATTGTGGGTAACAGAATCCAGCTGTGTTGTAGGCGCTGTGTTTTTGTGCGTGTGTGTCTGCTGGTGTGAACATGTGCAGGAATGCCTGTGTGTGTGCGTGTGTTCATGGCTGCGTGCTGCGCGGCTCTGCGGGTCTTGGGTGCGTGTTGACCTGCTTCGTGTCATTTTGACAGCGCTGGTTTTCTTTCATCAGGCGCCCTTATCTGCACTCGTACAAATAGCAGAGGATAGACCGTGTGCAATGAAGTCTTAGCAGCAGAAGACTCTGTCACTTTTAATTATGGATCTATGAAAGAGCAAAGAGGACTGGTTTTGCAACTCTATGCTTTGTGATTGTTGTGTAATGCGGCACGAAACTGCCCTCCATATTTTGACTGCTCTGTTTTATACGCTACATGGCAGATTCTTGGATCCATATGTGGGGCACCTGGTCAATATCAAACAACAGCAGAGGACGAGATGTTAAAAAAGAGAGAGAGAAATATGCACGCAGAGATTGAGCTGTAAGCTTCTCTGTCTTTATCTCTTCCTGTATCCTTCTCGCTCAGACACTTAACCTGTCATCCTTTAATAAAGCGGAGCCGATTTGAAAACAAAAGAGGTGTGTGTGAAGCAGCTCGAGTGGTGTCAAAGATACAAAAGCTTTGTTGTTTCAAGATTATTTGATGTACGGTGTTTTTTAGAGTTCAAAGCTCATTTGAAGATTTTACATCTACAAATTTTTTTGTTGTAGCACAAAAGTCCAAAACTGGAGGGATAAAAGTTAACCGTCAGACTTGAAGATGGAGAGGAAGACTAAGGCTGATTAAGGAATATTGTCTTTATTGTTTAAACTGAATCCCACTTTGATGCCCTTTTATGATCTCTGAAAGGAAACAAGACCATCACAGAGCTGAAACAGGGCCATCGTTTCACTCTAAAAATAGATGTGAGCGAATTGTAAAATGTATTTAGGGGGCACATAAAAAAGAATCAGCCGAGGCAACAAATGTTTTTTCATGTAAATACCGCGGCGAAGTTAGTATTAGGTTTGATATCCGACAGGATATGTCTCTACCAGTGTCTTCTCACTCTCCATAACCTGGAATAGCAACAACAGCATGGTTAAATCTACTCGGCACCCTCGCTGTCAACGTCGGGTGTTGAATTAGGGACCATCAATAAATTACCGGTTGATGTTCTCAAAAAGGCTGTTTTCCTGCAATAGCTTCCATGTCATGCGACCAATTGACCTAAAATCGTTTTCAAATAATAGTACTAATAAGACACTTACTATTTGATCAATTTTCATTGTCCGCCTAAAGTTCTTCATGTGCTCCTAACTTTTTCAACGTGCTCCTTGTGAAAAAAGTTAGCGTCAAGCCCTGCATCAGGCGCAAGATTAAAATGTTTTATTGTAATCTCTCATTTCTGAAATTTGTACAGAGCGGTAGGTGTCAACTGAAGAGCCAAAGAAACACAGAAAATATTCATGAAATATAATAAAGCTGATGAGCAAACGTCGGCAGGATAAAATTTGTCATCAAGCTTAGAGGGAGAGGTAAGCAGAGCCTGCTTAGTCCACAGGGGGCGCCAAAATCGTCATGAACCAACAGTTCCTTACAGGAGCTTTCAGTTCTTAAGAAGTTACTCAGTTTGAAGCAGGGAGAGGAATGTCCTCACATGGCCTCTTGTTTAGCAAGACTTCCTGCAAGGATTTCATCTGATTTTATTGGTTCCAGTTGAAAAGAAGGAGGAAATAATCAGTTTTAACACACTCCATGACTGCAAAGGAGAAAGAGGAATGAGAAAAATCTTAAAGATCATCCTTACTTATTGATTTACTGATCTGAAAAACATGCCCAGAAGCTCACAAACATAGTCCACAGACCTTTAGACTTGTCTCTGACTCCTTCTGGATACTTGAACTTAGACTCAAACTCTGAGTCCTAAAGACCTGATACAGACTTGAGCCGATCTGACTCTTGACTACAACACTCTTTGATCTGCTGGTCTTCATGGTATGGGATCTTTAAGAGATGTTGTTGTCATCAGAGATTTTAAGACAAAAATAGACACTCACTGATCCGTCCTCCATCTCCTCACCTGTCTCTCCCTTTTTGTTACGGACTGGATGGCGTTGAGTCACGTCTCTGACGTAGGACAGCGTCTTAAAGGGACATGAGACCATAGCCTACCTACACACATCGGAAACCAACTTTTATTTATTTTTTTTTTTGACACCTAATATATTGTCATGGGCAAAATGACGTTGGTTATTGTCATAAATTTCGGTATCAGTAAATTTTCGGTTTATCGCCCAGCCCTGGTGTATAAATTAGTGTTTTTCCCTGAATTCAACATGTTGTCAGAAAGGGCTTTAGCTCCAGTACAAGTCCTGACAGCAGGCCTGTCAGAGCAGCAAAGCCACAAGACCACATACACAGTGTTTACTGGGGATTAGAAAAAGCAGACACTTGTTTGGTAGGAGAATCAAACCACAGTGTAAGAACTGTCAGAAGCAAAGCCTTCATATTTACCGGATTAGTTCATCCTCTCTTGAAGACAATGATTCATCCATTCATTCATATTCCACTCATTCTTCTTCATAATTATCGAGTGAGCCATCAGCAGCAGCACCCTTAAAGGAATGATCGGCAGCTCTCATTATGAGCCTGTTACTGTTCTATAAACAGTCAGTGACTGCACACAAAAGAGGATCCGGATTCATGAGAAGAGTGTCTTTAAACGCAGCTCAAACAAAAGCGAACATACTGCACATGGTGGTGTCACAGCGGCGATGCTCTGTCATCTCATCAGTCATTGTGTGCATCAAGGAGTGCATCGTTCTTTGTGTTAGCTTAAAATAAAAGAGGTGTGTATGATGACAACAGGTACATGTCCTTTGGTGGACGTCACAGTGACTTTAGCGACATGATGTCTGACAGTTTTTCCTCTATCACACTCAAAATACTGGAACACTGATTTAAAGCTAATCTGTCAACTGGCTCCACATGTTCACATTAAGGTTGATTGACTGATGTGTTAAGCTAGAAGCAGGTTGCGTTGCCTTTCTGTGATCTATCTCCAGCTAATTTGGATAAAAATCTGTGACTGTTGAGCTTTTAACGTGATTTAAAAGTTTAGATTTTTGCAGGTTTACTCATGTTTAGTAAAGTAAACTATGATCCTCTTTGCTGTGCTGTTACCTTCAGACAGAGTTAGCAGGTTAAAGGCCTGTTGTGGTCAACGTGGATCAGGGATTGGCCATGTTTCTTTTCTTTTTAGTTGATGATAAATCGATAACCAAGGGGGAATCCTCATCTACATGAACTGATAAAAAGTTGAGAGTCTGCATTTGGTGTTTTAGTTGTAATTTACCAGATGACCTGTGCTACTCCCGTGCAAAACATCCTGTCTATGGCTATGAGTAATGCAAGAATGTAGCACCACTATACATTGAAGTTTTATCAGAATATTCAAAGTCCAAAATACTAAATATTTAACAGAAATAAATATCCAGCAATCTAGTAAAGAACAAAGATGTTTGATACCTTGTCCTTTGGCTGACATCAACAATGACAATTTGAAAGCCAAACTTTTTTTTTAGGTATTGTCGTCAAGCTTCAGACATTCCTTATTCCAACTGAAGGATTTGCCCGCCATTATCAAGTTTTGGCACAAACAAGGTACCAACAAGTTTCAACAGAGAGACTTAAGCAGGGATTAAAAATAACTTTCCAAACACAAGCTCTGTCTTCAGTCTGTGGTTTACGACAAGAAAAGACAGAGTAATGTATCCAGTTCACTCCAATCCTGTTCTGTTGCACTCCTTTCTTTTATCCTTTTCCTGCCTAATCATTTCCAAGTGTCAATATCGTGTAGTTTATCTCTATGTAAAGTAAAAGGACTATCACGCAACCTGGCTAGGTGCAATTTTCACTTTGACTTCTCTGATGAAGGTCTGTCAGGTCCATTACAGTTGAAACTGCAGGAACCTTGCCTGTGATGAGGAGGGTAAATGGAGGAGACAGAGGGCAGAAGGAAAACGGAGGCATGGGGCCCGGCTTCAATAAACATCTTAGGTTTCCTCCCAACTTCAACCTCAGGAGTCTTGGAGAGGGCAAGACTGTAAGGGCTGACTAACACAAACCAGGTCAGACTAAAGAGGGAAGTCGTGACGAGAGCAGATTGAGAGAAAATGAGTGGTGGACAGATATGCTCTACATCAGATGACGTGCAGTTCAGTTGTCTTGGTTTACACTCGACATAAGCTAGCTCGAAGTTCAGCTCACACATAAAAAGTTTGTGTTTATAGTACTTTTTGTTTTTTTTAAGCTAACCTCATATTAATCTTTTTTGTTTCAGCTGTACCTACATTGTCTGACAGGAAAGCCTCCTTAGCTCCAATCCCTAGCCCTAGAAAATGCCTTGGCAAATCCATATGCACACCATGTAGCAGTCTCTCGTTCCCCTTTAGATCCTTGCATTTTCCTATGTGGTGCCCATGTTTCTGGTGATAAGGTTAACAAATATGTCAAAGATGTGAAACGGAATAGGTAAGCGTGTTTCAACACACTCTTAGCATATTCTCTGAGTTTTGTATGTTGTAGCCGTTTGGTGCTGCAAGTGCAGACAAAGGACTGTGATACAAACACTGTGTAGAGGCTGAACGGGCTTTTCACTGACACCAGGAAGGGGGTCACCCTGGGTGGGCAAAACCAAACGTTTGGGCCTTGAGCCATTGGGCATTACCACATCCAGGATAGTATATAACAAATTTCACTATATTGAAACAGTCAATGGTATTGTATGGATGTATATGAATGTGTCTTTTGAACGATGGTTTGTGGGTTGGGCTTTTGCTTCTATATCCTGTGTATTGCTCTCTAGTGTTGTCCAAGTCTGTGTGCAGAGTAACATACTTGATTCATGTTGGTTATTTTGGTTGACTTCGTAAGAAAACGGTGATTAAAAACCAACCATTTTCTCTCCTTTTCTTGTCTTTCAGAGTATAAGGCCTGAGGTCACCATGCTGCCTCACCTCCTGCTCCTCCTCCTCTCATTTGGTTTGGTGATATCCTCGGACTGTCCGGCAGACTGTTCCTGCACGGGCCAGGGTATATTCTGCATTCATCGCAAATCAAACACTGTACCCCGTGTTCCCATCACCACTCAAAATCTCTACATCTTCCAGAACGGCATCAACACTTTGTCTCAAGATGACTTAAAAGATCTTGAAGAATTGGAGATGCTAGATCTGAGCCAGAATGAGCTGGCAGAGATTCCAGATGATGTATTTGGGATGCTGGCAAAGCTGAAGAACTTGGACCTGTCATCTAACCAAATCACTCACATCTCCAAAGGCAGTTTTTCTGGGTTAGTCCAGCTGGAGCGGCTGTATCTTCATGCAAATCGCATCCAAAGCATCCATTTGGAAGCTTTTGATGGTTTAGAGAACCTCCTGGAACTCAAGCTTCAAGGAAACCTGCTCACCACTCTCCCATCCATAAGTTTTCCAAGGCTTTTGCTTCTGGACCTTAGCCACAATAACATCCCAATCTTGGGACCCTCAGATCTCCAGACTCCCCACCTGGAGGCCCTAAAGATTTCCTCTATTGGGCTTACCTCTGTGGATGAGGATCTCATAGCTTCCCTTGGAAACCTCCATGAGCTTGACATATCCATGAATCAGTTAACGGAGGTACCCCAAGCCCTAAAGCAGGACTCTCTCAAGGGGTTGACCAAGCTGAGTCTGGCTACAAATCCATTGGGTGAGCTCAGAGTTGAGGACTTTCACAAACTGACAGGACTTGTAGAACTCGATCTCAGTGGACTCAATCTCCAAGGATTTCCACAGAGTTTCTTCCTGACCTTTCCCAGGTTGGCTCAACTTACAGCAGCTGAGAACCCATTTAACTGCTTGTGTCCGTTGGCCTGGTTCCCTGTTTGGCTAAAAGAGAAAAATGTGTTGCTTGGGAGGCCAGAAGAAACCAGGTGCCATTTCCCTCTGGTTAATGCTGGAAAGAAGCTTTCATCCCTTGAGCACAAAGACTTCGGATGTCCACCTTCCACAACAGTGCAGATTGGCTCCCCAGTTGGAAGTACACCTGCTCCCCCGATAGCCACCACATCTCCAGAAACCACCCATACCAACGCTATCCCTCCCCCTCCACCTAGTGAGGAAACACTCTCTTCCAAAACGGAGAGCTACCCCCTTCCACCTCATCCTCCTGTGTCCCCCAGTTCCACCAGTGGGGAATATGAACCACACATCTGTCCACCAAACATCTGCCTAAATGGAGGTACTTGTAATTTTGACCCACTAGGTCAACTCACCTGCCTCTGCCCAACAGGGACTTCTGGCCCCTACTGTGAAAATGTGGATGAGGTTCCTGAGCCACCAAAACATTCAGTAACAGAAGGTTCTACAGTTGGCCCTGTGGTTCCCACTGAAGTTGATGCTATCAGCTCACGGCAAGTGACTTCCACATCCATTCTTCTTGACCTGCACCGCTTCATTGAAACACGACCACACATCCGTGGCATTAGGTTGACTTATCGAAATCTCTCAGGACCTGACCGCCGGCCAATTATACTGAGTGTACCAGCATCTTACCCTGAGTACACCTTACGTGGTTTGATACCCAACTGCACCTACTCAGTCTGCGCCAGCCCCCTGGGTGAGAGAACCAGCTCTAGGTCTAACAGCTCTGCAGAAACAGGGTGGTGTACAGAAGCTCGCACTGACGGAGTTCCACTTACATCAGTAGAGCCAAGGGTGGAGACGCAGAGCCAGCTGACGAACACTCTCATCCCTGCCATTGCTGCCTTGGCCCTTGTGCTTGGATTGGCTGTGTTAGCTGGGACAATCATCTGTTTGCGGAAGAAGAAAAAAGCCAAGTCAGGAATAGAGCTAGAGCTGGGCCCCGCTGACCCTGACCCCATGGAATTGGAAGGGATAAAAGCTGGTCTAGAGAATGGGGGGAATGGTGCACTGCCCCACATACAACCTGAGATTGACCGCTGTCACAATCCCCAAGCCCCTCCATCATTGCTACAAAACGGGGCAATGGACTATGAAGTACCCCTGATGCAAGGACAATGCCCATCAAATAACAATCTAGCATCCCTAAAGCCATCATATTTCTGAGATGCCATCAACTCTCTCTTGAGAAAGATTTTAGAGACTGGGCTTGCCCGTCTGGATTTGTGAGGTCCTGCTACTGCTCACATAGTGTTAAAGAAAATCTAATTTCATTCCCATATCAGTGACGCAAAAGTGGCGCTTACAATTCTTTGTTGTTCAAAAGGTAACACTGTGGAGAATATAATGATTTTAGAGATACTCAGTAAGAATTTAAAGTAAAATCTTATTGGGAAAGTGCTAAACCACTGAGGGGCAAGGTTCAGGATGTGGTTATAAGTCATCTTACACAATCTGATTGTGATGAACCCAAGACCAGTGCAATCGACAAGATGGGTCTAGTAGCAGACTGAAAACGGAAGTGCCTTTTTGCATTGACAGAACTGTAACTGATGGCTCATTTTTATTTAAACTCTTTGTAGAAATGAAAACTTTGTGAATGAACTATAATCCTGTTGCTGGATTTGTGAGATAAAGTGTAGGTAGGAAGTGCCCAGTCTTTGGGAAACACAACCAGAGGAGGTGATGGTGGTTTCAGTGAAAGCAAGGATGCTGGTGTACGACTCTTGGACTACACATCCTGGTACTAAATAGGTTTTTGACCAACTCCAGCTACTCCATGGGACTTATAGATGATGTTGCACTGAAAAGAAGTATTTCTTTTCCCTTTTAGTGTCCTGGCCATGGTTTGCCACAAGACTGATGATTGTGTAAGGAATTGCAACAACACAAAAATGAATTGAGTAAACACTATTCAAACTAGCAATAGGTTGATGACCATTAAAGCTGTCTAAACTTCATACTGTACTGTTGACATTTGCTAATCTGAAACAAAACTTCCAAGTTTCTTCACATGTGGATTTGGACTCTCCGTTGTCAACAGTCCACCATTTTTCTCTCCACACATCCAAAAGCTTTTGGCTCAGTGAAAGATAAACTTGCTGTGAAAGAAAAATGGACTGAACGAAGAGCCACTGAGAATGGACTTTGCCTGCATTGTTCTGTGCCATGATGGGAAGGCTGTTTTGTCAAGCTTACTTTATGATATCCTTCTTTTGTCTTATGGGTTTTTTTGTACTTTTGTGTTGTTTTTTTCTGCCGTTGATCTCCACTCAGTATTGTTTTCTTTGCAGAAGCTATCAGTTTTACCCCTTGAAAAAAGCCCACCTCAGTCATCACTGAGTTTTTGATTTTCTTCGACTATATGAAATCAAGCTTAAACCTTCCAGATCTTCTTACATCCAGTGCTGGAATTGATACTAACGTAGGCTTCTTGAGACCAGGAGTATTATTAGAGATTAGAAAGACTAAATAAAATTCAGTCATTTTATATTATATATAGGTAATGATTGTATACGGTTTATTAAAATGTGTCTTAGGAACTCACCAAGTGAATGTAACACTTAAGTGTTGGACACTCTGCTCTCTCTGCCAGGTCTGCCAATGCCACATAAGAAAAACCACAGACCTTTTTTTGACCTCATAAGCTCCCAAATCTGTGTTCAAAGGCGCCTAGCCACAGAATCCACCCCTATAAAACAGCACACGCGTGCCGGGAACGGAAAGCAACTTCAAAGACTTCGGAGGCAATTTGCTGCGAGTGTCTGTGAGAGTTTTAAGCACTACAGTTTCCTTTTGCTGCCACTGACCGTGTCAGGTCTGAGATATGGTCTAGACGGTGTTCCCCCTGCAGCTTTTAGTGCTTCCTCTTCTTGGCTCTGCGTGCCTCCACACCAACCATCCAGTGTGTTTTGGTCAACAAGGGTTATTGGCTTTTGTATTTGGAGACTGTTTTGCTTGTTTACGGCTAACCAGACTGTGAATTGTACACGCACCATTCGTGTATTTGTTGTCTTTTTCTTTCCAGGTCTGGGAATGCCACAATTATTTTTAAATCACTGCTATTGTAAGAAAGAATCCTGAAATGGAGAGTTCAGTCGGGTTACAGAGAAATGTAGTGTCCCATTACAGTACACAGTGCTCGCTGATGTGTATTTCAAGAACAAAAGGGCCTTTATTTTGCCTCTGAGGACTATCATTGTGCTTTATTACATTACAAACCATGGATGAAGAAATATGAAATGTAATGCAATCAATTTAGTCTGGTTTAAAAAAGACCTGTCATGGTTGTCAGTGATCTAACAGCAGAAACCTTGGACGACTCGCTCTTATCAGTTTGTTTGTCCAGGTGTGTGTGCACTCATATGTGTCTGTTTTTTATTATCATTTTTTATCTTTCTCCTCCCGCTCCTACAGTACATTGTCTGCTTTATAATTGAGTCCATGCACTACACTCCGGCTCTGTCCAAAATCAACTCACCACTCTTTGGCTCCACTACAGCCTTCATTCTGTCCATTTTCCAGTATAAACAGAGACACAGATGCTCATATATCTGCTCTCGCTCACTATATCAACTGGAAGACTCTCTGAATTGCTTTGGACAGCGAGAGGGAGCAGGAAATGTTTGAAATATTTTCAACATGCTTGTTACAGAACTTTCCCTGTTTATTTTGGGAGAAATTTCTTTTTTTTAATTGTTTGATGTTTGTCTATTGTGTATTTACATGTTTGCAGAAAAGCAATGCTGAGGAAAAAGGACAGTATTAAAAAGACTTAATTTTATAACATCTGTGTGTTTGCATCTCATTCTGGATGGTGTTTTGCGATGGATTTCTAATGCTGATCTGCAAGTACATATAAGACCACTACAGGTAACATTATTTCTATTATTTCCTGTAAGATTAGGCCTTTTAGCTTACTTAATTCATTATTCACCTGACAGCTATGATCACATAATAATCAAAAATTTGACAGTTGTGAACAATATTTGAAGTTGACTGTTGGAAAAAATGACAGCCATAGAGGCGACCAAAAGGGCAGATATCAAGAATTCTTCTCTCCATCTATTCAACTGGTCAGGAAACCTCCAACCAGGAAAAGACAGTAGGAGACAGCACTCTGTCCTCCGACACGTAAACAATCAGCCAGTGGATCTGACGTTCCAACAACACGCAATCTGATTGGTCAGAAGTGGACACGCAGTATATGAAACATTGGAAAAATTGACCGTGAGACGGAAAAATAAATGCCGCAATATCGCAGGACGGGAAAATGTCGCTGATGTGAATGCTTGTATTGACAGGATACAGGTTCAAAATAAATATTGATGTCCGAAATAATCGCACGTAGCTCGCAATCGTTTCATTACTTTGATCAGGATGGTTTTGACAACCCAGGGTTCTGGCTCCTTTCCATCATGTTTGCTGCCAACAAAACAATAAAATAACTGGTCATGGAGCACCGAACTGTCCCCGAACATTCAGCACCTGAATTGAAAATATCAGCATCCTTTAAAAAGACAGTACAAAGAGATGTGGACGCCACAGATTCTCTTGTGGATGCTAGCTTAAGCATCTCTCCCAGCCTCCAAAACCAGCGCTAGCTCATCTAACCCTGTATGATGTAGGCATATGTCATACGGGGTAACATATGTCTACGTCTTATGTCATCTCCCCTCCCTGCCAAAGAGAAAAAGCTTGGGGATACAATGCGAGTTCTACCTGTCGAGTTCCACCCGACTCTCTCGGTGGATTTCTGCTGCAGAAAATAATGAAATGCTCTGTTGATGTTTTAAATTGGTACTCTTACAACTAAATTACCGACTTACTACAATGAAAGTGAAGTTAACCCGACACTTGGCAGGTCAGCTTGTATTATCAACTGGGAGTCTGACCAGAGAGAGAGGAAAAGATGCATAATGAAAGTTCCTCTCAGTAGTTTCAGTCAGTCTTTTTATATAGCAGCTTTCTAAATGATACATTTATGTATATATCCTACAGTGAAGGCTTGGAAATCTCTCTCTTTCCGCCTGGATTTAAGGAATTTGGATCTACTTGAGGCTATAAGTCAGTTTAAATGGACATGAATGTTGTCAAAGAGCAGAGTTTAACGAAAAACTTTCCAGCAACAACAGAAGCTGATTACACACAGCCTGCATCTCTCAGTACTTCATTACACCCATAAACACACACACACACACCAAACCTCAACCACAACATGATTACTCTGTGACGTTCTGCTGGTTTGTGGATGAAGGTCATTTTCTGTGTTTTCCGCTAATAGCCAACAACAGATGTGAGTGGAAAATGTTACGAATTAACACAATTTTCCACGTAATGGACGTCATGTGTTTCCGCTGCTCTCCGCTATTGGATGTTTTCTTGATGACTCTGCACTTTTACATCTTATTCATCAGGGCAGGAGCTTCGGTGAGGGAAAACAAATGTGACTGACTTGAATTTATCACAGGTTCTCTGTCTGAACCAGCGAGTGTAAATTCAGACTATCGGGTCAGCTATTTGGACAGTCCTGGATCGGTGTTATGTCATGGTTCAGTATCCATGGTAATCAAATAGAAACACTTGTGACTTTACTGATCAGGTATGTGTGCTCCGACATAAAATAACAGAGGTGCAATCCAAACTAAGCATGCTTCTGAGCTTTTGCAACCTTACAGGAAAAGAAAGTCTGTCAGAGGAGGAAAAGCACTGGTGGTGTCAGTAATCATAATAATTACGCTATGTCTGGCTGAGATAATCAGGTAATATTCAGGGGGCGGAGACTTTCCTAGGATACACAATCTATGTGCTGTCGTTTTCGGTCTACTCACAATCTTCTTGAACTGTCCCATTTTCAAGTTTGGAAGCCGTTCTTTTAATCGTGATGAGTTCATGAGCTTTTTATCATAGAGCAGAAACAACATGGATGCTCCAAAGGTTAAAAAAAATAGGTAAAATGATAAGTTACATTTAAAGGGTGTAGGCAACAGTTACTAAATCAACAACATATAAGTCAAATACAGAGTTTCCCACAGTTGACTAAACAATCCCTTTGCCAAGAAGTTTCTGGATTGTATTTTGATGACAGCATATGTTGACATTTAGCTGAATTGTTTTGTTTTGTAGTCCAGACTTGTTCAATTGACTGACTGAATTTTATCATAACCCTGACAGTGCATTCACCACCATCCTTTTTTCCATAATTTTGTGTTTTTAAAGTTTATGTAGAGTAATAATTTTGGATTTTGGAAGTAGCATTGACTCAGGTTATTATGAAAGAACATGACAATAGTTTTCCCTTTTCCTATTGCTTTAATGTAATGCATGAATTCTACTTTTGTAGACCTTCCTTCCAAAAAAGCAAAAATCTTTCACTAGCAAGGGCTTTTTTCTGTGTAATTCTTTTAAAGGCCAGCTGGTGTTAGACAAACTTCAAAAGTGCTGTTCATATCTAAACAAACAAAAATCACAAGCGGAGTTCCCCAAGGCTCCATTCTGGGGCCTCTTCTGTTTAATAATTGTATGTGCTCACTCAATAAGGTTATAGAAAACAACAAAATATATTACTATAACTACACTGACATCGCACAGTTACAATGTCACCTTAAAGGTGGGGTAGGCAAGAATCCGTTAAAGAAGCATGTTTTTTTGTGGTGTATATATAAAAAAGCTTTTAATATCAGTCAATACCTATTAGTCATTGATGACATTTGGTAATATGAAGATATCGCTGTGTTTTGTGTTTTGTCTGTGTAGTCAACTTTTTGAATTTTCAGAGCACTCCGCTCTTTCTGACTCTAAACAAAGCCATTCCCCACCTCCCCGATCCTGATTGGTTGTGAGGCGGACGCTGCTCCCCTGTGTCGTTCACGAGCCAAACAAAGACAGAAGAAACCAACCAGAAAGTACAGAAAACTTTCTAATCTTCCTTTAGCCACGACTGCCAACACAAGCAAGAAAACAAATTAAATACCAGAGACTGGAGGAATGACAGCACTTAAAAAGGAGGTAGACCACCCGGACAAGAGCTAAGAAGCCGAGTCAACAATCATGGGGGACACTTCGGGATCTTACAGACCCTGTAACCTTTCTGCTGGACAGGTAAACAGATTTAACAAAGTAAGACAAGTGTCTGTAACAGAAGTGTTTCTTGTCAAACGGACCTGCTGTAGCGTGTTGTAGCGCCATCGCTAAACTGTTGACCTCGGGTCCTGGACTATGTCACTTTATCCTAGTTGTAGAAGTCCTGCAAACATTGTGTTTGCTGGTAGTCTGTTGGCATCTACAGTAGCACCAATGCTTTTTACTTTCACCTTGACTGGGCCCCATTTGTAATTATCTGAAGTATTTATCTGCATTATATCTGAATTTAATTGGAACGATGCAAGCGAGCAGGAACGTCTGTTTGTGGGCGGGGTTTGATGGAGAGGAGGAGCTGGGGGGAAAACTGGTTGGAAGGGGTAGAGTTTACATTCAAGATTTCTCCTAAAAACTGGTACTTCCTCAAATCCTGCCTACCTCACCTTTAAGTCCATGGCAAGTTTTCTTCGATTAAAGCTAAAACTTCTGCAGATATTTTTTGGAGCCAAATAGGCGAGATTAAAGGTCAGTAAGCGGCTCAAGTTACCACAGTTTAAACTGCTTACCGAGCCAGAATTCTGGGTGTAGCCTCGGAGTCAGACCTGAATTTTAAAAACCACAATGTGACAATTACAAAGTTGGCCTACTGTCACTTAGAAATTGTTTCAAGTGTTTAAAGACATGTCCCAACAGGACCTGGAAACTGGTCCATGCATTTATCGTCAGTCGACAGTGAATGGTTTTGGGCCGAGATACACCAGTGATCTTCTCAAACAGTACGAACCATCCAAACCACTTTGGTGGACTGGAGCAAGTCTGTTTTCTGTCTCCAGAGTCGACACAAACATGAAGGAGCAGCTTCCAGGTTTTATGCACCAAACATCTGAAAGAAACTTCCAGAAAATGCCAGGTCTGCTGAAAGTCAGAGGTCTGTTCTGGTTTCTCTACGCTCTGATTTTTTGGCATGTTTTAAAGACTTTTAAATTACATTTCTTGTTAATTTTTAAATGTTTTCTCTCAGTGTATTTCTCTGACATTTGCTGTGAGTCTTTTATTTTGAGGCGCTTTTTATTTCGAATTTATAAATAAAGGATAAATAAAGTATTCTGACTCTAATTATTTCCCTGTTGACAAAATGTGCTACATAAATAAACTTCTCTTGCCTTGCCACTTGCCCAGAAAACCAGCAAAAAGTTGATACCTAATTATACATTCAAAGGCCAGATTATACCCTGTCAGTTTTTAATGAAAAGCAGATTAAAATTAGAGGATTCCTTGAAAGAGCTGCAACAACTCTGTGGCTTCGGGGTTGCGTTTTTTAAGATCATCATTGCAAATTCCACAGAAAATTACTGAGGGGTAAACATTTTTGTTTGGATGTTTTGTTTGTTTGCTAAAAGAAGAAACACTTTTTCAGGGTGTGTCCCTAAACTGCACACTATAACTGCGGCACTGAGCAAAGATAGATTTCTTTTTAAGGATTCAGCAAAACAGGGAGAACAAAAAAGTCAAAACAGACCTAATAAAATGTTAGAATAGTGCCGAGGAATCCAAAAAAGGGACAGAAATGCAGCCCTTTCAGCCTGTTTCAGCTGCCGAGACTCAGTCCTGAGATCTGCTTTTAGGTCAGAGTGAGTGAGATGTCTTTCACATGATTCACTTTTTTCCTCCATAAAAAAGAAATGAAACTTCCCTCTAAGGTTTCGATCTTACAGGTGTACTGGATAATTCCTAAATGTCGGTCTACTGTTTATTTCACGAGTTGAAAAACAGTAAAAGATAGAATAAGAGTACGATAGCCATCTGCTCTGAATTTTCCAACCCTACTGAGAGCGTCTGCATGCCAAATGCCTGAAAAACAGCCCAGACCAAACATATTTTACTAATGACAAATGTTTGATGATGATGTGTTGCCCCAGAGGAATAACAGACAGCAGTGCAAAGCTCGGCTGCCATCCAACTCAGCCGGAACCTGTCAAGTGCATTCAATGCAATATGCTATGGGGAGCTGGAAAAGCGCTTGTCGAGGACATCTTTTTGTTAAAATTAAATTTACAGACCCATCAGATTGGATCAACTTGTATTCCAGTGATAGCCTGTCACAAAAAGCTCATGCTTTGGCTATTTTGCACCACAGACCACATGAATTTTGCGTTTTTGCATGTTAAAACTCTGGCAGTTTTGTTCTGCATGAGCTGAAGTTTTTTTGGCTGACCAGAAATAATCAATACGGCTCGTGTTGAAAACATAAATTCATATTTCAGCATCTATCTGGAATAAAAGGGCCTGACTTTGGCAGTGTTTCTTAGGAGATCAAATGAACTGATGACATTGTAAATATGAGTGTCAAATGTTAAAGGGATACTCCAGCGTAAAATTAAGTTATGGTCAAACACACTGTAACCCCAAGTTCGACACCTCCTCGAGAGATGAATGTTGATGACTGCTTGCTTGAATACCAACTTTAGGAACAACCGCACGATAGCAATACACAAATCTACTTCTCCATGTGCAAACCTTAACCAAAACACCACTCTATAGCCACAAATAATGCTCAGAACAGCACCTAACTTCATCAACAGGACATATAGGGTCCCAGCCATAGTACTAGACTCAAACATCTTTTTAGCTTTGACTCATTTCTTTAGCAAAGAGGCCAAACACAACTTGCCATGTGGAGCTGTAGACCGCTGTGTATTGCTATCGTGCGGTCGCTACTAAAGTTGGTATTTAAGCAAGCAGTCAGCAACATTCATCTCTTGGAGGGGTGTCTAACTCTGTATTATGGTGTGTTTGACCATAACTTAAATTTACGTCGGAATGTCCCTTCAAGTCAGAATCTAAACCATCCTAAATTCGTCATATTTGTTTTAGTTTTCTTGTTGAAACTGTCCAGCACTGGGTTCATTTTTTCTCTGGCTGCTTTTTCCGTTCTTTTCCTCGCTCAGTTTTAAAAAAGTTATTAGGTCACGTGTTGAGAGAGATACCGCACTCATTTGGTTATCATCGGCATAAAAATGATCATTGACATGGTGGCATGTAATAATATTTACAGTGAAAACAAAACAGGCCCAAGAACATGTCCCTGAGGAACACCATGTTTAAAATCTCTCTCTGGCACACATGCACCAAGGCTGATAAAGGACTGAACCAGACAAAAACGCAGTCAGGCTGATATATGACAGAGTTATAGCGCCCAAGCCTAGAGGGATCAAGTATGACTTAAATCCTGATTTTGGGATTCAGGATTTGAACTCAAGCCTTGATTCTATTAAGACTCACAATCGTAAAATTCACTGAAAGGACCAAGCCTGATAACCAAGCCTCTCTGATTTTCCCCTCTGTTGTTGTGATTGGATTAAACAAGCATTCCTACAGAGTGTCAATTTATACTGCAACAAAAAGTCCCTGAATAAAAACAATCCTTAACTTCACAGCCAATCACTCTCATTATCCCCCAAATGTGCTTCTCATTAAGCGGCCTGCCTCCATGAACTGCTGCAGGGCGCTGAGAGAAAAGAAAGAGAGAGAAAGAAAGAAAGAAAGCAGGAGAGGAGGAGGAGAAGGAGAAGCTTGATTTATTTGAACAATCTGGTTGTAATGAAAGCAGCCGAGGCTCGCTGGGGGCGGGGAGGCGGAGTGAGTGGGGAAAAGAGCGAGGAGGAAGGAGTGAATGGAGTGAAATCCAACATGCAGACAGATTGTTGGAGCTGATAATGGTTTAAACGGACCCTACAAGACTCCTAACCCCCCTGCTTAGTGTGTGTGTGTGTGTGTGTGTGTGTGTGTGTGTGTGTGCAAGCATACTTCTGCATGTACCTAACTTACCATATATCAAGCATGAGCTCCATATGCAACCCATTTGTGCTGCAGTATATCTTCCTATCATTGCTGACATACCTGTGTGATACATAAGGGCCAATAACAGATAGTGAGGGAGTGTTTACTGCAGCTGCTAATGCATGCTTTATGTCTGTTGGACATTGAAGAGTTTCTGAGTCTGAGTTCACATACTTCACAGTGTTTAAAATCATTCACGGATCCACTAAAGCTTTTGGCACGTCCTCGTCACATAGATGTACGATACTTAGCTGGAATGCATTTCTAATCTTTAAAAAGACTTTGGGAAGATGTTTCTCATCCTGGAATTAGCTTCAGAGAATCCTCCAACAAGACTCCCAATCAAACGAGGGAATATGTCAGATGTGACACTGAAGCATGCTATGATATGATGCCACTATCGGCAGGAAATCTTGTGACTTTGCTTTCGGTAACATGGTGGCCAATAAGAGAAGACAATCTGCCACAACCTGAATGATTTTCATGAACAGAAACGTGCTGCAAATTCTCAAACAATGCAAAAGTCAAAATTGTCAAACAATGTTGTCAGGACTAGTTTCCTCCAACTACGTCTCCTGGCCAAGGTCAAATGTTATTACGCCATCACGACCTTGAGATAGCCATCCATGCTCTAATCAGTTCAAGATTAGACTACTGTAATGCACTTTATGTTGGCATCTCCCAATAATCTCTAAGTCGCCCTCAACTTGTGCAAATTGACACTTAATTTTATTGCATTGTATCTTCTTTTTTTTATTACTTTTATTGTTTTTACTGATATTTATTGTTTTCATTTATTCATTTTTACTATGTATTGTAAAGCACTTTGGTTCACCGAGGGGGTTCTTGTAAAGGGCTGTATAAATAAAGAACATTTACATTTATTTTTTACAGAAGCTTAACTTCAGTACGTTTCTGCTGTTGCATTTGTTTTGGACTTTTGCACAAGACATTGAATTTGTGCCGATTTCTTCAAATAAAGATCTGTCCGGCATGATGGTATGGTATGACAGCACTATTGTAACACTGAAGAGCCCAAAAAAGTCCTTTCGATCAATTCTTTGGTAATAGATTCCTTGAGCTGCAGTTCCTTAAGTGTCCACTAGAGGTTGGCGCTAAAAGCCCAGGAAACCCCATAACCACCAATGTATGAAGGCCAACACAA